ATGCGTCTTTCCTCCTTTCTGGCCGTGTTCAGGCCTGCTTTGCCCCTCATCCTGGGGCTGTCTCTTGGATGTAGTCTGAGCCTTTTGATGGTTTCGTGGACACAAGGGGACACCGATGACTCTTGTGGGGATGAACTGGGCAACGGGAGGCTCTTCCTGGGCAGAGGAGAGGCCCAGAGAGACTCCAGAGATGGAGCAGGAGAAGAAGACTTCCAGCCACGTATCGTGCCCTATCACAAGGATCCAAACAAGCCCCACAAGAAGGTCCTCAGGTGAGTTTGGAAGTCATGCCAGGTGTGTGTGTGTATTGCACAGGAGAGCGTGGGCTTTCTGCAAGAACACACAAATCAGCCTTTGACTTACAAAAAAAAAAACAAATTAGTTAGAGGAGCATCACAACATTTTACTTTCAGTTATTTTTAAGACAGGATACAATTTTAATACAGACGATCAATCAATTTTTATTTGTATAGCGTCAACTCATCACAAGTGTTACCTCGAGACACTTCACAAAAAGCAGGTAAAAAGACCTTACTCATTGTTATGTTACAAAGACCCAGCCTATCCATCATGAGCACTTTAGCAAAGCAGCAAAAGTTACAGTGGTAAGAAAAAAAAATATATCTATATTTGTTTATTCTTTGTTTGATAGGCTAACAATTAAGTCTTTTTTTGCAACAATCTAAATGCACTGCCTGATGCAAAAAATGGAAATTCGTTTTTACACTCTGTCTAGTAAACATGATATAAAGTAATAAAGTAAGCATGCTACACAAAGCATAGGCCGAGATGGTGGGCGCTCCTGAGCTGGTAGGGTGCCTTGCTCAGGGGCACCTCAGCAGTGCTCAGGAGCTGGACTGGCACCTCTCCAGCTACCTGGCCAATTTGTGTGCCGGGACTTGAGTCGGCGACCCTCCGATTCCCAACCCAAGTCCCTACAGACTGAGCTACTGCCGCCCCCTCAGAATTCTTTGTGTACGCACATTAAGTTGCTTAGAAGTGGAGAAAGCAGTTTTCTTGATCCTCAAATTCAAACCACATTTTATGCCTTATTTCAAACCCTGTAGCTGACATTTAACAAGAAAAACTTCCCATAATCGTATTCTTTTATCCGATGAGCCTCTCGGTGGGTTTTGGATTTTAATGTTGATGAGTTTGTTGAAATCAGTTTTTCTTTTAAAATAACAAGTTTAGAGTTAAATGATCACATTCATTCTGTCAGTGTTTTGATCACTCTTAATTGTTTTTGTTCTTTTCATTTATTTTTTCTTGGCAACCTCTTCAGGACCCGGTATATACACACTGAATTGGGCATCAGAGAGCGCCTGCTGGTCGGTGTTCTGACCTCTCGGGCCACCCTCAACACGCTGGCCGTGGCCGTGAATCGCACAGTTGCCCATCACTTCCACCGCACCTTCTTCTTCACGGGCCTGCGTAGCCCCAAGGTGCCTCATGGGATGACCGTTGTAGCCCATGGGGACGACCGCCCAGTGTGGCTGATGTACGAGACTGTGCGTCACCTCCATCAGCACTATGGCTCGGACTATGACTGGTTCCTGTTGGCCCAGGATGACACTTACATGCAAGCAGATCGTCTTTCTGAGCTGGTGGGTCACCTCAGTGCAGGCCAGGATTTGTACATGGGCAGAGCGGAGGAGTTTATTGGTGGAGAGGAGAAGGCCCGCTACTGCCATGGGGGCTATGGCTATCTGCTGTCTCGCAGTCTTCTGGCTCGTCTGCAGCCGCACCTCGACACCTGCCGTAATGACATCCTCAGCGTGAGACCTGATGAGTGGCTGGGCCGCTGCATTATTGATTACCTGGGTCTCAGTTGTGTGGAGGTGCACCAGGTAAACAATAACTCTTATGCAATAGCATTGTATGTGAAATAATAAAGAAATAAGAGAGGTTTTAAAAATAGAAGCTGAAATAATTAAAGATGAGAAGTATAACAGAACATAAAAGTTCAGGCAGGACAGTTGTAACAAAGTGAAAGAGGAACTTGAATGCCGAGAAGAGGATATTGTGACAGACAAGGGGAACGTGTAGTGACTTGAAGGAAAGGGAACCGTTGAACTTAACTGAAAACATTGTTGATTCAGAGGAGCAAGACATTTCCCTTTTGAGTTGTTTTCCAAACTTCAAAGTGAATGTTCTTTATTTTCAGTGTGTAGTCTTTTTCATTTGAAATCAGACTGATTTTGTCTCCCACATGACAATGTTATGTTCAGTTAGCCTTCACAAAGACAAAAACAGAATAAATGTCCTTGAGAAGGCCATTTGTTACTTGTATACTGCACCTTTAGAGCCTTTCAGTTCAGTTCAGAAGTTGAATCAGTACTTCTTCATTTACTAGAGTCTTTCAATATCTGTTCCTCTTATTGTGGAGTGCACATTGTTGTTTTACAGCTCTGAATTGCTACAGTTTTTATAAGTATAACCTCTAATCCAATTCTTCCTTTCTATCACAGGAGATGAGTTATCGTTATTTTGAACTTGGGAAGAATGCAGATCCAGAGCGTGAAGATAGCGTACAGTTTAAAAACGCCTTCACAGTCCATCCTGTATCTGAACCGAATCTGATGTACCGCCTGCACAAACGCTTCAGCAAGATCGAGCTGGAGCAGACGTACCAACAGATTCAACAGCTGCAGGTTTGCAATACTTGACAGTGATTTCTCTCAACCATAAACGACTATTGTTTGCTTCAGTTGGCTGCTTTGGTGATGAGTCGTGTGTGAAAAGTATACTGTTATTTTTTCCACCACACCCTACTTTCTGAAGCCAAGACAGACATTCCTGACTCATACATTATTTAAAGAAGTCTTAATGCCTAGACAGGGATCAGATATTTTGCTGAGGCATGAAGTCAAGCTAAGCTGTCCAGCATCATCAACTTGCAAGTCTGCTCAGGAGACCTTGTTATTCAAGTAGCTGTTACTGATAGTTAGACTTAACTGGAAATATACACTACACACCAGAGCAATCATAAGTGTACAGTGTCTTCCTTTTTTGGCCTTGATCCTGACTCATGTTTGTGTACTCTTCAGATGCAGATCAACAACCTGAGTGACCTCACACCGGAGGGTAAGGCCGGAGTAACGTGGCCTATCGGAATCAACCCTCCCTTCAAGCCAAGAACCCGTTTTGAGGTCATTAACTGGGAGTACTTTACTGAAGAGCATATTTACTCATGTGTTGACAGCTCCCCTAAGTGTGAGATGAGAGGGGCTGACCGTGCAGATGTTAACGCAGTTTTAGAGATCGCCGTGGAGCGTCTTAACGAGCGATATCAGCCTCAGCTGCGCTTCCGCAAGCGCCGTCTTCTCAACGGTTACCGGCGCTTTGATCCCACGCGTGGTATGGAGTATGTGCTGGACCTCGCACTTGAAGCCTACACCCAGAAAGGCCACAGTCAAGTCATTGCCAAACGTGTTAACTTGCTGCGGCCTTTAAGCGCAGTTGAGATTATCCCCATGCCTTACGTGACTGAGGCTACACGGGTGCAGGTCATCCTCCCTGTCACAGCTCAGGACCAGGACTTTGTTGGGAACTTCCTCGACATGTACGTGATGAACACTTTAGACACCCATGACAACGTTTTACTCACGTTCCTGTTCATCTACGATCCTTTTGACGCCCAGCGAGTCAGCCAGACTGATGTGTTCGCTGGTGTCAAGGCCATGATCGGGGAGGTGGAGAAGCGATATGGTGACGTGAAGATTCCTTGGATTAGCGTTAAAACGGAGGTGCCTTCACAGGTCAAACTAATGGACATCATCTCCAAGAAACACCCAGTGGACACACTGTTCTTCCTGGCCAGCGTGTGGACCGAGGTCAATGCAGACTTCCTAAATCGCTGCAGAATGAACGCCATCAGCAACTGGCAAGTCTTCTTCCCCATCCACTTCCAAGAGTACAGTCCTGCCGTTGTGTACCGCGACCAGCAGCCCTCTGCAGCCTCCTCCTCTTTTGCATCAGAGTCACTGCGAGACGGACACTTCGACCGCCACGTATTTGAAGAGGCCTGCTTTTACAACGCGGACTACATGACCGCTCGACAAGATGGCTGCAGACATCTTGGACAATGAGGAGCTGCTGGAAAGTATGGACGTGTACGACATATTTGTGCGTTACTCCGGGCTCCATGTGTTCAGAGCTGTGGAGCCGGCGCTGATCCAGAAATACGTGCGGCGAACCTGCAATCCAAGGTTCAGTGAGGATATCTACCACCGCTGTGTCCTTAGTAACCTGGAGGGTCTGGGGTCACGCTCACATCTGGCCATGGCTCTTTTTGAACAAGAGCAGGCCAACAGCACCTAGACACCTGGCCTTAGGAAAGTGTCGCTGCCTTAAACATACCGCCTGGACTGAAGAACTCATGGAAAATAATGTGAATCATATTATGGAACTTTTGTGATCCATAGACTGCAATCCTTACCTTTGTGTTTGGCAGAAAGTCTTCAAAATTTCAGCTCGAGACCATCAATGTGTTGCTCATGGACACCTCAACAGAGCAAACACATACTGAAGCTTTATCCTCGCGCCAAAAAAATGTTCAGCTCGAAACGTTAGAATGCTTTTATTCATGAGCCTCTAACTTTGCTTCTGTCATGCTTCTGACAAATTATGAGTCATAAAGATGACTTCTTGCACAACTCCTTGAACGTGGACTACTTGTATTCCGGCCCTGGATGTATTCTCATGGGAGCCGAGCAACAGTATTTATGCTATCAATTTAAAAGAGAATGATCAGAGGTTTTGTCTTGAATGAATAAAGGAACAAAGGGTTCACTGTTTATTTTGAACTGAAAGAAAACTCAAATCTTTCTCGGTGAAGATTTAGGGGAAAAAAAAATACTGGAAACAAGCTGAAGCTGCCTTTTCTTGTAAGTGTTAATTTTTAAAAAAGTATTAAAGAGTGATATTTCTGTTCGTAGTTGTTTCTTCATTTCCTACAGTTCATAGTTTTTAAAGATGGTTTGTTTCAGTCTCGTTAGATAAGAACACAATTGTTTGTGGGATCTGTACGCAGTGTGCTTGAACAGTTACTCCTGGAGGTCTCTGTTGTCTGCTTGGAAGAGCTGAAGAAAAGGGAATGTATCCGAAAAATATTTTACTGTCTGCCAGGCTGTGAACAGTTTGTTCCAGCCTATCCTGCCTCATCTGCTCACATTAAGTCAGTAATTCTCCACCCTGGCCGGGGCCTCCCTGACTTTTGGCGTGTATTCTGTACACAATGTGTCTTCAGGGAGAGAAGTGAACCCAGTGCCCAGAGGGAGGGGTCTTGTCTACCTAGCCAAGGTCTGCCGTCGCGTGGTTGGTTAACCTTCACAGCAAGATGGTTGAATGAGCTGAATGGCCTTCTTTACACAGCCACCTCGATCGTGTTGAGTCCCCCCTTACCTCCCCAAACCGCAAAAAACTCCTCCATGAGAGAGGTAGCTGGCTCAGGAGAATAGCGCAGCATCAGAGTGAAAGAGGCTCTTTCTGAGGTGGAGTGAAGTCAGCGTTACAGCACTGCTGCAGCTAAAAGGAAAGGCCTCCACCTGCTTCTTGTGGTGAGGTCAGTGAACAATAACACGTCTGTCTACCACCTCTGAGGAGGTTGGGCCTTCCAATCAACACCTACCTGACAGAGGAGGACAGTGTTCTTTGAGTGAAGGGTAAATATTTTCAGATCATAGCTGATTGGAAAAAGTTAATTTGATTTGTGGAGTGCAGAGCTTCTGTAGTTGAAAATCATTAACACATGGACTTCAAAGGAGGCTTTTAAGTGCCACAAAGAACAGCTTGAATAAATGGTTGTAAAAGTTTCCTTCATTTTGATCTAAATTATAGAGTCCAAGCAACTGATTGTGCCTGTGAGTGTATGCTTTTCAGACAGGTCAGGGATATCTTGTTAGCAAGAAGAAAGTTCAAACTAGGTGAATTAACTTCTACCTCTAATAGCTAAAACAGGAATATTACATTTTAACTTAACAAAAGTGACCTTTACAAAGCAAATTTTGTCTTCCAACATTTCAAACCTCAAAGTTAGTTATAAAATAAAATAAAATGGGGTGTAGGATTATGATGTGCGCCCCATGTAATGAGGTGTCAGACTTTATAGCATCAGACATGGATTAAAATCTGAACTCGGCCCTTTGCTGCTTGTCACCCCTCCCCCACTCTCTCCTCCCATCATTTCCTGTCTGTCTTCAGCTGTCCTCTAATTAAGACCTGAAAAATAACTTTAAAAAAAAAGAAAAAGCTGACAATCCTCCCACTTGTTAACCCTGAGAATTAAATCTTCTTTTAACCAGAAATAACTAAGAATTATTGTGATTTTTGTTAATTTTACATCCTTCTTTCTTTTACAAGACACAAGATGAATTAATTCCATCAGTTATCAAATATAGACAAAACCTCAATACATTATCTATGCTGCTTTTCCTAGTTGCAATCTGTGGCCCCTTTCCGACATGTCACCCCCCCCCTCCCTGATTTCAGACACTATCCACTGTCCTGTCAAATAAAGATGCAAAAAGCCCCCCAAAAGAAATCTTAAAAATAAAATGCAATTGCTGAAAGTACAAGTTCCTCTACTTTGCTCTCAATGTCATGCTTACCTTTCTTTAATGTGCATAAAAAAGCACCATCACATCAGCATGTTGTGGTTGAAAAAGTGAAATAAGGACACTTCAGACATGATGGCATTTACAAACTTTGGCAAGCGCTTCTTTATTTACATCCAGGCTGTCTTGTAATGTCACAGCTGTTTTCCCTTTTTTTTCATCTTTTCTTGTAGAGTGAAATCAACCAAGCGGATTTTGCTCTCTACAGACATACAGTACAGTATCATGTCCTCATCTCCCTGTTTGTGATGCTCTGACGACAGTGTAAACAGAGACAAAGAGCGGCTCCCACTCTTCACCAACACATGCAGGGAGTGGGACAAACATGTGGACAGTATACGTCAGGATTTAGAAACAGGAGATGCAGTAGTCTGTTTTTCATTTTCTCAGATATTCTCGTGCTCAAAGCTCGAGCTCACCCAGGAGTTGCAGTTTCTAGTTTCCTACACAAGAGGGTGCTAGTGAATCAGTGACTTTATGACAACAATGTGAATGCCCCTGTGGTACAAAGACAAACCCCTCTAGGTTAGACACAGGACTAAAGATACTACCAATGACTACTGTTTCTCCTCTAATGAGTGCAGTTAATATAACTTAGTAACAAAAACACAGTTCAGAAAAATCACACCTACAGTTAGTTGCTGGTAGGGCATATCATTTTTGGCAAAAAAGTTTCCAGAAGGCATTTCGATGAGTCTTCGGCTCATCACAGAGACGAATATGCCATCTTTTTTATTTTATTTACACAAGCGGTCTTGTTCGGATGCGTGAATCAATGTCCATGGAGCATGCATAGGTCATCGTGAAATCATCCAATCACTTTTTGTGTATGCTGGGATAATGAAGAGGCGCTCAGCCGCTCCAAACGAAAGAAAACCCCCATTGAAGTATTAGCACAGTGCAAAGAAAAACAAAATCTGCCCGCTGAAATAAAAACAATCCTCCCTCCGACATGACAACATATACATAAAGGTCATTAAAAAAGTGTGAAAGGAGATTATTTCATCTGTAACTGCTACTCGGATTAAAAGTCTTTCTTTGTCGCAGCATCCAGCTCCCACGGTAGTGACGGGATGGACCTAAAATAAACCACCCTGACCCGAGATAGTACACAGAGGAACACTAACATTCCTGCCCTACTAATGCGAAACGCATGGAGCTCCCATACTGCACCATGTTACTCACACCCTCCCACCCCACCCCCACCCCCAAAAAACAAACACACACAGAGATAGTCTGTCGTATACTGTACAGTTGACCCTCTCAAGGGGAAGAAAAAAACAAAAACATATTTACATTCACATCTCTAGAAAATAAAACTTTCTTCTTCATGTAAAAGAGTGGAAATGGACAAAACTCTCCTCACCTGGGCTTAAATCATCAATTCATTAACGCTTTCAGGGTTTGTCCAGGACTTTGATTCCTAATTGGCTACAAAGGCTAAACCTTGGGGATTAATGCTGCATTCATGTGCTGCCAGGTGGTCCAAGTTTCCGAGTTTGGAGGTCGAAAACGTATTTTGCCCCTCATGTGATGACAATTCTGATGTCAAGTCGGGCACATAATTCGCCTCCGAGTTGCCAAGTTGTTGTTCCGACTCGAGCAGGTGTTCAAGTGCATTTTACAACTCGGATACTAATTTTCCCGATGTCTCCGACACCACATGAATGCACCATAAACTTCTTGTGTCAGACGAGGATATTTTTGCACGTTTCCATTAAACCCAGGCGAGGATTATTTTTGCCCGCTTCTTCTGCATTTCAGTGATTTCTTCTTGTTGCGACCTTTGGTAACACCTTCAAGACATTAGCTGGCAAAATAGTACACACAGACAGGTTCCGACATGTATTTATCATTTTGCCATGATTAAGGGAGGGAAAAAAAGCTATTATTATTATTTGAATGATCAATACTGGACGCAGGGTTATCCTCTGTTAAAGCTCCTTAAACACACATGGAGCTGTGTGCATGTGGTGACTTATACTGATGCATTACAAAGACTGTTACTGGAGAATCAGATTAAAATGAGACACATTGAAGGCTTGAATCTGAAAAGAACCTTTCGCTCCCTTTAACCCAACGTGTTTCACTTAATCTAGACTTGCTGGTGTAATTAATCAGTTTGATGGAAACACTCTTAGAACAAATGAAAACACACTTTAAATTATTCACGCCTTAAAAAATAGAAAGCAGACGCGTCCAGAGGGCTGTGAGGGTGGACCTTGATGTCTTGTTAATTCATGTGCACACTCTGAAAACACAGCGGTGTGTGTGTGTGTGTGTGTGTGTGTGTGTGTGTGTGTGTGTGTGTGTGTGTGTGTGAGCAGCTGGCTCAGAGATCATCTTGACTTTACTTGTGACGTATTTACAAAGCAGAGAGTAGCGATGCCTGTGGTCTTGGGGGGGGGGGGGGGAGGGGCTTCACCTCTACGGGCGCTTTAAATACATGCGGTTAATGATGATGACGTCCTGCACAAAAATGAGGAACTAAATGTGCATCAATATCCAGCTTCCATACGAACACACTGCTGCTATTGCAAGAAAAAACGTCTTTTATTCAAAACACTGCAAAACCTCTGAGAGACGAATGTTCTTTTTTCTTTTTTTTTTTTTTTGACTAACCAACATTTTCAGAGGTATAAGGTTTCCCCGGACGACAGCGATGGCCTCACACACACATCCCAAAAACAAGCACACTCAGCTCTGAAATCCAGAGTGTCAGGAGGACCTTGGTTTAGGTGTTGCGGACAGCTAAGGCCTGCTCCAGCTCCTGTCTCCTTTGCTGGATCTTTTAGGGGAAAAGGAGAAGAAGAAGAAGAAAAAACAGGATCAGATCTGAAGGGGTTATTTTGAGGTGAGAGTGAAAGATAATTAGACTGCAGGTTTTTGTTTTTTTTTCATTCGTCCCTCACCTTGCAGTAGAAATAGCGGCTGACGGCCTCCTGGGACCAGGGCTCGTGGTAAAAAGCCGCCCTCCTCTCCTCTTCAGGGTTCCCCACAACATCGGTCATTAACTGCAGACAATGAGAAAGTTTAGCAACAAATAATAACCATTAAAGGACCAATATGCAAGATAACTACAGAATTAAACGATAACAAGACCTTGCTATATGATCAGACATTAAGGAAACATGCTATGTTGAAGTGCTGGCTTCTCTGACAACAATGCAGCAGCCAGTATGTCCTCCTTCTAACTTTAGATTCTGGTCCTGAATGCTCTGGATTTGTTGTGGCCAGAGAAGGTAGGTGGTTTTAAGGCCCCCCCCCCACACACGGCCGTTTTAGACGCCCCTCGGTTTTGCCAGGCACAGGGCAAACCAACAGGTGTTGCAGTGATGGAAGCAGGCAAGAGAACTGGTTTTACAAATACCGAAGTGTCCCATAGATTTAACCGGGCATTTTTCATGTGTCACGCTCAGTGTACTTCTCTGTTTCTCTGCATCATTACAGCACCTCAATATTTCCAGACTTATATAAATGTTGACATGATTGAATGAGCTACTAAAACATCTTTTTTTTAGAAGGACACCTCATCAAAAATCTCTCTTGAACAACCACTTTCAGCCACTAGGGGTCGCCTGCTGTACTTTTTTTAGGCCTCCAACAAGCAGTCAGGTTTGTTTCAGTACAGTTTGGTACAGTAAACCCAATCGTACCCTTCCACATCACTAAATCACAATGGAGCGACATAGTGTAGACAGCCAATAAAGTCAGCAAACAAAATGTGTCCCGAACCAGACGGAACCTTACTGCACAGTGGAAATGGGGCTGAAGTCTATTTCAAAAGTATTAGTTATGGAATGAAAAGCTTGACTTTGTGTGTCTTTACGGGTTACTTTGTGCTCCAGTTGGAGGTGAAATGTCCTTATTGGTTATAGAAAAAGTTTCACTGGTTGTGATTGATGACGTATTCTTTCAGTTTCCCCCACATGCAGAACATTTGTGAAATAAAGGCGGCTACAAGACGGTGTGCTTATAAAAATAGTAGTAAGAACCTTAAGGTCTCGGCTCTGGGATTTGAGCCAGTCCTGGATGTAGCCTTTGGGATCTCTGGAGAAACTGAGCATGAAGTCCCTCTGGATCTTCAGCTGGTTGATGGACTCGATGGTCTCATGGATCTGGAAAAAAAAAGAGGGACAGTGACAGACTTTAGATCAAGAGAAAAAGCAGAAAAGCTGGACAATCTGAGTATATGATAAAACCACAATCCCCCAGGGATTTATGAATGAATGGATGTAAACATTTAGAGGAGCAATAGAGGAACATGGAGTCTTATAACCTTTTTTAAAGGCACAGGACATTTATAGAAAATTCTCTTTCCAAGTTGTTTAATCTGCGGCAAGAAAACTACTGCAATAAAACCGAAACGTCTGTAAAAGTTATGGATGAGTCTTCCTCATCACCTCAGAATGATTTACAGCATCAGTAACAAATCACTCCAGAGAGAGCTGCTGTCCTCTGTGACGAGGCGTGATCTCACCTTGTTGTCGAGCGAGGCGATCTCCTGCTGGTTGGCAGTCGAGAGGAGGAAGCTGCTCATTTGGCTCTTCAGGGGGTCCTCCACCTCCACGTCGATGTCGTAGCATGCCGTCTTCTTCTGGTCGTTCGGATCCACGCTGCAGGGTGAAAAATACAGGTAAGGATTTGAGCAGTAAGTTCCTCAACGCGTTGGCTCCTGAATAAAATCAGTCAGTGAGAGAATGTTTTAAAAGCCACAGAAAGTGCTGCCAACGATGGTTTAAGTGTTTAATGGGCTTAAAAACTTAAAAAACACTACATCAAAGCAAAGTTTGAAGACACATTTTTAACTCTGAAGGCTACACTGTGACCTAAAGAGAAACTTGTACAGTTTCTACTAATATTGACAAGACAAAATGTTTGTTTGCTTTTAACTATAATTGCAGGGATGAATAGTCAAAGCTACCTCACATTTAGCACAAGGGGACAACTGTGTTTATGTTCAATACTTCTAGGATCCTAATCACATGGCCTTTTCAAATAACGTTACATTGAACAAGGGGGGAATCTACCTGATGACGTGGTTGATGACGATGGGGTCAGGGGGCAGGAGGAGGTTGGTGAGGCGTTGAGGGATCTCAGAGAACTTCAGCCGAGGGCAGTCAAAGATCTGTACAGGAGGGTCAAAAATGAAACGGCTTAAAAACATAGGCACGGTGGAAAATTACCTCCTCACTTCAATTACAAATAGATTTACTCATTTATGGTGAAGATGGGATGTACGTGTGTTACGACCACACTTCACAGAATTGACAAATGAACAGATGTTAGACTGTAGCGGTCGTTACCCCCCATACATAGAAACAGAAGTACCGGTGTACTGTGTGTTTATCATGCATTTAGTTTTTTACACTTTCTGTCTATTTGTGCTCTTTGCAGGCCCGGTACTTGAACTAAATGACTTAGTCTGAAATTTAAAGGGGGCACAGCTACAGTGACCGCAATGAAAAATAGCGTAGGTGTTACGGGTCCCTCGTGCGGTCACCGGTGAAAAGACGGGTCACGTGCACCTGTCATGACCATCAGATCATGGATGTAATAAACACGCTCTGAGTCACTGTTGTCATTTGAAAGCCTTGATTGCTCATTGTGAAATAATAACTTATTACTTTTTTTTTGCATCCATTCAATTGAGGGTGCTGAAATTTAAAATAAGGGTGCAATGCATCATTTTGCACCCTCGTAGAAAACGGGCCTGGCTCTTTGGCCCTCTGCTTTGAGGCGTAGAAAAACATGTTGAACTGTCTCTGTGCATGCTAATTAAAATCAATGTTACTACACATCCCTCTTTACAGAATGTATATAAAGAAAAAGAAAAGGAAGAAAAATTAGGACCATGAGGAGAAAAAAAGGGGTTCAAGAATATCTATATAATTGCCTCAGACATTCAGTGTAGATCCTTTATACTTTCTGTTCTCAATGATCATCATACATAATACTGTATATGCTTGTTGTTTTGTCTTTTTGCTGCAAAAGACACAAGGTCACAGACTTTTCTTTCTTTTGTTTCCTCCAGTTTTTCTTGAAAATCTAAATCAAAAATGTCGGGCACAAGAGCCTAAAGAGAACACATTATGAGTTTTATCAAACCCCTTGCAACACTGATGTCAGTATCAATGCAACGCCGGTGTGATTTACAGAGTATAGAGAGCCACATGCCTGTTGGAAGTACTTGTCACAGTTGATGTACTCCTTGTCATGGGAGTCCTGCAGCTTGTTGGTCTTGACGTACTGCCAGAGGGCCTGGATGATGCAGGAGCGGGTCTGAGTGTGGATCCCGAGCAGGCGAGCCAGACGAGGGTCCAGCTTAAACTGGGGAGGCTGCAGACACAATATAATAAACATTTTTTTTTTTACAACCACCCACCTCCCAGCCTTTACATCACTTCAGACTTCCTTATCTTATTTCTGCTGCTTGGACTCTGACATCAGGTTTGAATGCAGTCTTAAAAACATGCTCTGTAATGTTTTTGCACACTGGATGTTATCAGTGATGTAAGGCCTGCAGGATGTCGATATAACAGCTGATTTCACGGGACGGATTAGTCACAGAGTTGAACCAGAAGAGAGTCTATATCAGGACAGATTTGTGAGCTGTTGTTGAGACTTTTGAGGCTCCGCTCCTCACCTGATAGTCCAGCATCAGCAGCAGAGTGCAGCGCACGCTCACGTCTCCGGGCCTCTTCACCTGGAAGCCGTCTGTCTCCTGGGTGGTGGGCGTGCGGTGCCACTGAAAGACAAAACCACAACACACTGACTACATGCCCCGTACCGAGCTGCTTTCCTCAGACTGTTACTTTCACACTTCAGCTTCTGTTTGTTTCACACTTCATGAATGATAATTAATTCCTGCTTTTAAAAGGCTGTGAAGTCCTATTTTGTTTTCTCTCTCAGCTTCTTGTTTTGAGCAATGGGATTTTATAAGAACACACGTTTTCCTGCTAAAGTTAGAACAGTTTCCAGTGCCCCTCTGGTGATATTTGGTAAAAATAAAATAATGCATGGCCACAGGATAATAGGGTGTGGCCACAGGAAAGTAATGCATGTCAGTGGGATAATAACCAATGAGCACAAGATGACTAAAGCCAAAAGATATGAACTCATGCCCTGCATAACTGCCGTAAGAAATTCAAATAAAAGTAAATTAATAACTACAACATCTGTCCAAGAATGACAGAATAATGCTCATATACGTACAGGCTGTGAAGCAGGTTTGCATAGTATTTTACAAAGTAGGATCAAATTAGTAAAGTATTATATCCTAATTTTGTAGACATTTAAATATTCTATCAGGTGTAAATTTACAATTTCATAGTCTTTACCATCTTTGCTGTGCACGAGATTTGTTTGAAAATAATCAATATGAATAATGAACTGACACTGATGCTTGTCCCAAACAAAGGCAGGGTCATTTTTTAGACTGAAGTAAAACATTTTAAGGAGGTGAAGTTAAGCATGGAGTACTGTTTTATCAACAGAGACATTATTTAGCTGCTAAAAGTTAATATTCAAATGCTGAATACACCTGGACTCAATGACAGGAATGTGCTGAAGTAAGGGAAGTCATTGATTTCATCCTTTACCTGCTGGAGAACAAGACTTTACCCCTTGGCCATGCATTATTTAATTTAATCAAATAGCACCACAGGGGTTCAGTAACCGTCTGATTATTTAAGATAAATTCTAAATTGTATTTTTTTTTGCTTTTCATGCTTTTCTTATGAGTTTGCAGTGAGCAGGCCTCATGTTTTTAACAACACTGGACTCAGCCTGTCATGACAGTTCTGAGGTTATTTGGTTGTTTCCAGCGAGTGACTCAACCATGGTCAAAAAGAAAAAAAAAAAAACACCCACACAGCTCTGATTCTGCAAATTAACCAAAGTGGTAACGTAGCTCCAGGACTGTCGATGTCAGCAGGTCAGTAGAATCCACAACTTTGGTTCAGACTAAAGTAATTCAAGAACCTTTGGATAGATTTAGACTAAACATGAGTCAGATATCCATATTTAATGGACAAAATGTACTGACGACTTTGAAGACCAAAGTTTAAATAATGTACACACACTTTAACTTAAGAGCAAATGTATGCATCAGCTACTTTCACTCCCCTACCGTCTTTGTATAAAGAGCTGAGTAGCAAATATTATCATGCTAAACATAAAGGCATAAAAAGCCCAAAAGACAAACCTAGCAAAATAGCGCTGAGATCCCCTCCTTTTTTTGTTCCCAGTGCTTCTGTAACTAGCAGTCTTGAAAGGGTTAAACTTCAAATGAGCCTGTCACAATGTGCTAAGCCACACAATAGCGAAAGGTAAACCATGTGGATGTTATCAGCAAAGCCATGCAGTCAAACTGAGGTAGAAATAAAATCCACCAACTATGACCAGAAGATTCTGTGTTTGAGTCTGAGTTCACATATTGGAGCCTCCAAAGTTTTTAACTGCAGCCCAAACGTTATTTAAAACGCCATCTTTTCTTTAGTGCTCAGAAACTGAAAACAAAAAGCACTTGAAACGCCATCTTCACCGCTGTGAACGGCACCTAAATTGGCATGCAATACAGAGTAATGTTTCCCTCCAACCAATGGCTGACTCGGAACAGATTAAGCGCTGATTGTACCTCAAGGTAGAGAACCATTTCTTTTGATGGGAAATCATTGGAAGCGAAGCACCTGAGTGCCTTTGCTAAAATACCCTCTCAAAAAGGAGGAACCTTGAGAAGTCACAAATTTCACTCTTAATATGGCTTTTTTCAAAGTCACTACATTTCGAGGGTACAAAGAGAAGAGCGTCTAATGATTGTTTTCTTTTCTTCTAATAAGCCAGCACTTGTTTTCTCCAGTTCTCAAAGCTGCGTGTTAGAACAACCTTGCAATGTTGAAAATGAATGAATGAATAAATAAATAATTAAAATTCCTCTCCTTTATAGAAATCAATTTACTGGAAAGGAAAGAGGGCAGCCCAATCACTCTTGTCTGTTTTTATTTTATATTAATCCATTAGGAGTGGAAAAAAGATGCAGGTTAGTTGGGGTGATGGCAGCTTGAGAATGAACCAGATATCATAAAAGAAATAATTTCATTTGAATGTTTTTTCCTTTTGCAGGATGAAGAGGCCGGCACTGACCCTGACTGCATGGTCTAACGCTCCTATTCACAGATTTGAGCAGAATACCAGAGCTCCGTCTGACTAATGGATGTGATCTCAATAGAAAGTGACCAACAGGCTACTCGCCCGCATGTGAATGTTGTCTATGATTGACGAACGGCACTAACATGGAAGCTACACACCAGCTTGTAAAAGGAGAGCTAAGGGGAATATCTTCTGGCAGAGACATGATATAGAAATATCCCTTTTAGCCGTTCTAGGAAGAGGTACATTCAGGCAATCATTGTCTTAATTAGGTATTTAACACACCTATGTATGCCCATGTGATTATCAAGGAAAACCTGAGGAAGGCAACAGGCAAAACACGTATGCACACCAAAAAGTGAGTATTCATTTCTCAACAGAAATATTTTGGGTTGTGTTTTAATTTAAAGCTTGAGTTCAGCTTTTACCGCCATATTCAGTTTAAGTTCAAATAAAATGCTGCTACTGTGGAAACACATCAAGATCACGAGCATGTTTGCCTGTTTGTTAGCAGAAGCTAGAAGTAAGAATTGAAGGCAGACAACGTAATCTGTCGTGCATTCATCTTGTCATCATGCAACTCCTAGAAATAGCCTGTGTTCGGTTTGTAAAGCAGGTAAAAGGTTGATCATAATGTGAAGGTGTGAGTGAGCCTCTTCCTGTGAACAGAGGAAGCCGCCGTCATTTGTGAACTGACCTCAACCAGGTGGTTGTCGGGGCCGTAGAGATCTTTGTCCAGCTCGATCACCAGGCTCTTAAAAAACGAAGAGAACTTCTTCTTCTGCTTCCCCGGCTGTGAAAGAAGACAGAGGGAGGGAAATGTTTCAAATCACAAATGTAACAGGTTAAAAAAAAAGAAAAGAAAAGCTAACTTTTTTTTGCCATTTCTTTTTTTTTTTAATTTTTTTTTTACAAACATTACTCATGAGAAACCCACAAGAGGCCGAGTGAGATCAGAAGAAAAAATGAGACGGAGGATGTTCTCAGGGCCCACTTCCTTTGAGCTCAACCAGAAATATTTGTGGTTTGTGTAGCTTAAATGTTTCATACCGCTGTGAAATGACGGCCTTGCCCCCAGACTGCTGAGAACATCAGAGCTCTCTATGAAAGCAGTACAAACAACATATATATGATCTTTATCCTTTACAGTCTGTCTTCAAGTAAATCATTATAGAGCTAAAAAAAAAAAAATGACCCCGAGCTGCACACTTCAATACTTTATGGGGAGATTATGATCTCAGGGACGTTCTTGGACGCTGAGTGAATTTGTCTCTCAGTGATGAAATCATACTACACCCTGCAGCGGATCAGCGTCACAGTCACTGTATTGCATTCTTCCCCCTCTTTCAAATGTAATATGTGACTCCATGTGAATGTGCTGCATGTTTTAAACACAAAACAAAACTCACGTCATCCAGCAGCTTCCCCTCCACTCGCAGCTCCCACGATGCAATGCTGCCGTCTGAGTCATCGGCGTCGGGTCTGGCAGGGTTGAAGGTGTTGGATATGTAAAGCCTCAGTTTACGCTTTTGCTGCTGACACGAGGGGACGTAAAATATTCCAGTTTAAACAAGACATTCATTAAATGTTCAATTCATATTTCATGCAGAGGCTGCCCCCGAGCTAAACCAGCGTGTCTCTTTGAAGAGTCGAAGGAGTCTTTCTTACTAAAGCCTGGCTCAAGCTGCAGGAGCATCACACACATCAGGAGAATCTTAACACATAATGATCTCCATAATCTCAAGCATGCACACACACTACAAGATATGAAAATCATGGCACATCACATACTCCAGGATTGTATTAAGATTATCATGACCTCACAGAACGTCTTGTACGCCGTGGAGCCGGGGGTTAAATTTACGATTAATTTGCTTTGTGCAGAGAGGAACTGGCTCCTCCTTACTTTAACTCTCTCATCAGGTCTACACTCCCTCCCGCCCACTACGCTCTGCCAATGAAAGGCGTCTGATCCAACCTTCACAACAGGGTCCTAAGACGCTGACTAGACTCTTCTCCTCTGTCGCCCCCTGGTGGTGGAATGAACTTCCAAACTCCATTGGATCTGCACCTTTAAGAAAAAGCTAAAGACCCAGCTCTTTCATGAATACCTACTATCTTAATGATGATGGTCTCCATATTATTGATGATGATGATGGTAATGACGATGGTTTTTGTTTGATAACGACGACTTATAAGATGGTTTCTATACTGATTAGAGCTCTCAAGAACTGCCCTCAATGTTGTGCTTTGCCTCTGGTCACTTCCTGTCAGCACCTGTGTGACCAATCGGACTCAAAGCTGATCGTTTGCTCTTACTGACATTGTTCTAGATCCTTGCTTGTGTTGTTCTTACTCTCTGATGTATATCACTTTGGATAAAAGTGTCTGCTAAGTGAATTGTAGAATTGTAGGAAAAAACATAAATTAACAAACAAGTTTTGGGTGAAGAAACGTCTGCAGAGACGTGGACAACATGGGCTGAGCTGGCAGTAAGACTGTAACTCATGAAGTACCCTAATAGTCAATATTTTAAATCCTTAATATCAAACATGTTTGAGATAAATCGAGGCGTCCCTGACGATGTCTGCGCAGATTGGGGGATGCTCGATTGGATCTTTATACGACTCATTATTGTCTGGTAAGATAATCGGGCTGATTGTCCTGCAGTCTGAGCCGGTCTGAGCTTTGAGGGACTTTTCATGTGTTTTAAGTTGAGAAGAAATTAAAAGGATGAAAAACAAAGTGTTATAAATGACGCCTAACTCATTATCACTTTTCTACCTGTTGAGGTGCAAAAAGACGGATAACTGCAGTTTTAGACCGATGCTACGAGGGCAGCCAGGGCTCCTCATTGTTCCCGTTTTCTTTTCCTTACCTTCATCGGCCTCTTCAGTGCTTCCTGGATGTCCACACGTTTACGCATGATGGTCTGGTCCAGCTTGCGCTCAAACGCCAGCAGATCCATGTAGGCCTGAGACTCCGGGACCAGCTCACGAATCTGCTCAGACGGGAGACGATATGCTGTTAGGATATGTTCCAAAACACAGAGGATTAAGAACTTGGTTTTCCTTCAAATTGACTATCTTAATATCACTAAAGGCTTAAGCAGATTAGCCAGCAGTTTTGCCTTTGTGTTGTAGGGGGTCCTTGTTCTTGTTTCAAGGGCATTTCATCTCTTAATATTCTGCTGCCAAGGACTGGTAAAGTCAGAATGACAGAATATGAGTAATCTAATCCATGTGGAAAACGCTGAATAACTTTCTTGTAAATGCAATAAGCTAAAATAAGACTCCTCTAAGTTATTTATTCAGTTTTTTTCAAGTTCTGGTTGGCTTATTTAAGCCAGACTTGAGAAAACAGCTAGTCTGAGTCAGGACAGCGATGAACAAAATGTCCCTACCTGCACCTTAAAGTTCACAAATGAACATGTTTCTAATTAATTGTGAATCTGTAAAAAAACAAAAACAAAATAAAAAGTCAAAAAGCCGGGGGCGCTGATGGCCTAGCGGTTAGGTTGCACCCCCGTGTACGGAGGCTGTAGTCCCTGGTTCAAGTCCGACCTGTGACAGCCTTCCCGCATGTCATTCCCCACTCACTGCACATCAGTTTGTGTTGACGTGCTTCCCATCAGGTCATACAGTATGTTACACTACATGTTACCATGGCAGCTTGTCACCATAAAAAACAACACATTGCTTCTACTTTAAAGAAGATCAAAGTATATGTAGTATAATTAACTGTAAAAAATAACATTTGCTCCATGTGACACTTATTTTTCTCCAAAGTGTTTTTATCATTTTACTCATAAAAAACTGTAAAAAGTGGAGTAGTCTCTCTGCAGCTGCCCAGTCCTCCATTAAAACAGCATTTTACACCATCCTGGGGACACTGGGGAATGAAAATGAAATGCAGAGTGTGCAGCCAACCAGCCAGGACTTCAACATTACCATACCGATGAAAGTCCTCAGAGCATCAAGGGCTGCTGCTGCTGCTGCTTGCTTACCAAACTGTGCACACACTCTCCTCCAGCTCACTCCTTCTCCTCCCTCCCTGTCTTTTCCCCTTTCATGTTTTCTGTCTAAATGGCTGCCTTTATTGTTCCCTCTCATTCCTCCTCTATCTCCATCTCACTGCCTTTCACCGGGCTGAGGTGCCGAGCAGCCGGACGGAGAAGAGAGGCAGACATTCCCCGTCCCTGACTCATAATTGTGGAGTGGCGCCCCCAGCCATGCCTACTGCTATCTCTGTGTCTGGGTTATGATAAGGGGATAAGACCTGAGCCAAGACCCTCACAGTCCACAGACCTCCATTTACTCGGTGTAAAAGCCCTCTGTGTGCTGGCCAGGAAATGTTGCGCTGATATTGTGGCACTGGGCCGAAAAATTTGAGACCACAGGATGAAAATCATAACCCTTAGGCGGCACGAACTCACCTGTGGCAACGCAGCGATTCAGCCGCCTCTTTCGGTTTGACTTGCGCTCAAGTCTTTGCCATATCCCGCTGACAATTCCAATTTACATCAATGAGGCACCATCCAAATTTCAGAATGACACCCTGCAGAAAAACCCCTAAAAACCTCCTGATCGCTCCCCTCATCCTCTCCCCTCTCATTTGGAAATAACACATAATCATCTGGCCCTCTGCGCTTTCCAAGAACCCCTGACGTCAAAAAGGATTTTTCTGGTCTGCGCACAAAAGATAACAACACAAACAGTAAAAAAAAAACAAAAAAAACAGAGCAACAAAGGTAAAAAAATATGCAGCCTCACCCTTTGCGGAAGAATCTTGTCTGCCATTTTCCTTCTCTTAGCACTACAGAGAGGGAGAGAAAGAGGAAAAAGAGAGCATGTTACTATGGTGACTGATAGCGTAGCACCCAGGCCATCTGCTAAAATGCTGGGCCATATCCAGCACCCCAGCATCCCAGCTGTGTGTGTGTGTGTGTGTGTGTGTGTGTGTGTGTGCTCATGTGTTTGTGTGTAATGCAGCGGTCCACCTGGAGATTGAGAGCCTCTCAGCCAAAAAAGTGTCACATCACACATCTCTTGCTTGACATGTATTGGCTGCACACACACACACACACACACACACACACACACACACACACAAACTCTGCAGAAGGGGTCGGTGCAGCAGGAGTCGGATGGTGACAGGATGTGTGTTCAAGAGCTTTTAGGAATGCAGAGTCAAGGGGAACGTATATGTGTGTGTGTGTGTGTGTGTGTGTGTGTGTGTGTGTGTGTGTGTGTGTGTGTGTAGATATTTTCATTCATGAATTCCAGGCATTTCCTGCTCTGTGAGAACAACTTTTGTTTACCAAAAACATTTTCTTATACTTACCAAGGACAGAGTAAAAGAACAATAAGGAATCCTCGATAAGTTGGGGTATTTGTCGGAGCTATTTTACTCGGTGACGCCAATTCTAAAAAAGCGACACTGGAGCTATGGGCCAAGTTTCTTGAGCGGTTTTCACACATGCACAAAACTCCGGACATTTTCAGGCTGCATGAGTGAACACAAACAACCAAATTTTCCACACAGACTTTTTTTGCTGCAAGCCCTGAAGTAAAATGTCCCCATAAAGTCAGGTGAGCTTCTCCACTTGTTTGTTTACAATGCGAATACGTCAAATTACTCCAGCTCTTAATATCGAAGCAAAAAGCTTTTGTCATTTTTAAATTTCTGCTGCTGCTTTTTTTTATTATGTCCTGCCTCCTGAGCATCCTCCTAGTAAGGCTCTGAAACGTTAAATAAAATTAAAACACAATCTGCAACCTAATACCTGGATTGGTGAAGTGTAGCTGCTTTTACCTTTTTTTGTTTGAAGATTTCTGGTTAATATCTGGAAAAAGCTTAAAGGTAGTTATATTAGCTTAGCATAAACACCAATAACGCCCAACTAGCTCCCCTACCAGCTCTGTTTTTGTGGGTCAATCTGCAATCCAAACCAAGAAAAGGTCTGATCAATAAGCCTTAAACGTTTAAACCCTCTATTTCTGTATAGATTCAGCAGAGAATATAAAATGTAGCGAAGCAATCATGAACTTCAGATGCTGAGATGTTAAAGTTACCTAAAGCAGTGGCCTGAATTTCAGGTTGCTTTTCAAATATTTTGCTTATTTGATTTTCTTATTGATGTTGCTGACTGGGATACGATCTTGTGTCATTTGCAACACAAATATATTCAAACATAGAAATAGAAATATAATGGTAATGTCTGTTTTTGCATAAGATACCTGAGAAATTCAGGTGAAAGTTGACTGGATATCAGACCAGTTAAACTCAGTTGAGAAGCCATTTCTACCCTCTCACTGTTTACTGGATATGGTTTAATCCCCAAGCTTTGTATTAAGATAGAAACTTTCTTTAGATGTCTTTGTTCATCTTCTTGTTTGTGCAGAGGGGATTCTCTTGCAGCACAGAGAAATCTCCCGCACACTGCAACGGTCTGAGAAGCAGTGTGTTACATCAGCATGCCAAATACTGAAACAAGCCGGCTGCAAGGAGAAAAAGATCCGAGGGTGCATTGCAAGGGGAAAAAACAAACCTGCATCACAACAATTCTCCATTTCAAAGGGTTTTAAAAGAGTGTGAGAGGTACACTACTTTATGTCTGTTCTAGCTTTTAAACAAAAACTGTTCCCATCATGCCATGCTCCGATTCAAAGCATGCACAACTACGTCTTAGGGGTCTACTTCTTGGCCTGCACAAAAGATCGGCCAAAAAGATCTCATTCAGGGAGTGCTGGGCTCAGGTGAAAGGCTAAATAGGCCAGGGTCATCAAACGTAAGAAAATGTTCATGCAGCAGAATAAACTCCTACTTTGATCCGAGCGTGGGATCTGATTGGGGCTCTCTCATGTCCATCTGCCTCGCCGGCATCTCATTGGCTCCAGGGAATCCGACAGGCTTCCTAAGAATTGGTGAGGATTCGAAGGTTGTCCGATTAGAGTTGTGGCGAGACACACACTCAAGAGGCAGCAAGAACGATGTAAGAGGGGAAACACCTGGTGGTTCTGCTTGTTTTTATGTGTTGGATGTGTGTTAAGTTCAAGGGTTTGTTAGTTGGTGCAAAATCTAAAACTCAGACAAGGGCAGGCACTGCGATGGGAGTGTGTCTGTGTCCATGCACGCACAGAGTGCAGCAGAGGAGGACCTGGAAGGCGTCCTGCTCGTCTGAGGGACACAATCATTCAACAAAGTTTCTCAGTGAACCAAAACAACCATGCTTCACACACACAGACAGACAACACACCAACAACGGACACAATGTGAATTCTGGGAAGGGAGTAAAACAAGCACTTTTGTTGCACTGGATTGAACAGATTGTGGTTGCATTGATGAAGTGATGTGCAGCAGGTTCCCAGGTGCAGATGGAGACAACATGCAGGCAGCTTCCACCTTTTTTCGCTCATTTCTTCAACCAAAACTCAAATTTTTCTGAACATTCATCCTGCCAACAAACTAACTCCTGAACAAATAAACCAACTCCAGTCCAACAGCTTAAACCAAGTAACCCTTTTCATTATTGCATGAAGCTAGCGAGTGTCCTTGGTTGAAAGGAATGTTTTTTTTGTTGTTGTAATTTTAAGGTCAAACACTAAGGATGCACACAACTTTTTCAGTTCTTTTTCAAGATACCTGGGTTTTAGGTTTGGGCTGATACTATCATCATTGTATTAATCAGACCATGCCCCACTGATCATTGATGGGGCAAATTGGGCCTAAAATTGTCCAGTGTGAAGCCATCTTAAGGCAACATCAGGCTCTGCTTTGACATAAATCTTAATTTCTTTATAATACTTGGCAGTTGTTGCAAGTTTCTGTACAACTTATTGGCACAGAAAGCATGAAATGCCTCCAAACATTTTACACTTAAGCTCCCTGCATGAGCTTCTTCCTTCAAGCAAAATATCTTCCCTGCTCACCAATGATGCAAAACATAGTTCTCACATATGGATGCATGCTGAACTGAAAATCACATATAATAATACTTAATTAAACAACTTTAAATAAGTCTCAGAGCTCCCCAAAACATGTGTGTGAAGTTTCCTGTTCTAAATCCACTCTGATCCTGTATTTGATCATGCCTATAAACCCCTCTATTTCAGCCCTGATCAGAACAGGCTGTTTCTGTGTCTGTACCTTTAAATATGTAAATGAGCTGTGTCTGACCACGCCCCCTTTCTGGAAGAGCTCGGGTGTCTCTGTCTTTCTCGCTCCTATGTCCTATTGTTTACGGTGAGAAGGCAGACTCAGAGGGCAGAACAAACACCTAGCTGTGGGAGTGTCACCCACCTGGGGGAGGGGCTACTGCCCTTTGTGATGTCATGAAGGGAAAATCTCCAAACGGCCTGTTTGAGCCCAACACATTTTTTTGGATGATGCAGACGTTTTCAAACTAACTTTCCATTACAAAGAAATAAAGTTCCGCTAATTAACAAATTTCCAAGTTGCTTAAACACACGTGGGACTCAGGATGAGAGGCTCGCTCTCTGCTGTTAAAGTCCTCAGTGCCCACCATCTGTCTTAGAGTTATCACTTTCACTTTGAAAAAAAATGTATTTGGATACATTAGAAGTATACAAATGTCATCCTAAGACACAGGGTTGACTTTTCTAAACTTCATGCAAAGTAAACTTGAATTAAATCCTATTTTTAGTCGCAGCGTTGAGTAGGAAAGCGCTTGTTCTGCAGTGTAGCTGGGACCATAAGGTCTCAATGACACTGCAAACACAGGTGGCCCAACCTCAGCTGGCAGCCGCGTGGGCTCTGAGCTGGATGGAGTACCGAGCGGGAGCATCGACTCGTTTGCCAGAGGACACTCACTCCTGACAGAGAGAGAGAGACACCTGGACGGGTCACCCTGCACCATCGATCAGACCCTCCGAAGCTAGCCGGGCCGCTCGGGGGGGGGGGGGGGGGGGTTGAGGCCCCGGCGCGGGACAACATTTCCTCTGACCTGTTCGACAAGACTGCTTAATTGTAAGTGGATCAATCGTGTTGCAGATACAGAGAAAATTAGACAGAGGTCCACTGAGTGTGCATATTGATCCTCTTCCTAATGACCAAACCCGCCACACACACGTCTCCTAATAGACATCCATCCACTGTGAGTGTGTTCCTTTGTACTGGGTAGTGATAAAGCAGACAAAAGGTAGACTAACAATGAGCCAAAGCAGGTGCCAGAGCAGGTACAAACTACAGACACACATACATGATGCAAATGGACCACAAAGATGAAAAGACACACAAAGAGCGAAAAAGAGGAGAAGCATTCAGTCATGAGAGCGAGCAGTGATGGAGGAATCAAGGCAAAAGATGCAATAAGTGGAGGAGGGGAGAAGGCCCTGAAAAAAATCAAATGAAAGCTGAGCAGAGACACACAAAGGTCGTGGTTTCGCTCGATTTAAGGAGGATCGATTTAAGGAGAGATCCCATGAAGACAGCTACGGGTCGAGTTGTGTGTTGTAGTCTGGGTTGTGTTAATAACTCGTTTTTTTGTGATGTTTTTATTCTTAATCCATGAATGTTCAATAGTTAATTCACAAAACAGGGATAATGTGGCGTCATTCTAGCCTCTTAAAATTGCTTGTTTCTGTTAAATTTGAGCAAAACAAAATGCAATAGTTAAATATAATTTAGAAAAGCAGGAAATCTTTTAACTTAAGAACTTCAACCCAATAAACGTTTGCAAATTTTAAAAAGGAGAAGAAGAAAAGCCATGCTAGTTGCATAGCACCTGGTCAGGTGTCAGTGGCTCAACAACCACTTTGGTGCGAGCTGAATCGTCTTCACAGATGTTCGATGGATCGCCACAGAATTACAACTTTATATTTCTTCGAGTTGCTGACGTGTCGAATTTTAGATTTAAACCTTTTACCTGTTAAGATGATGACTTTCCCTTCATCCACAGATGTACCTTTATTACATTTATTTTAATCCAAAAGTATTTTCATCGTTTAACCAAAACATTTGTGTCTAATATTATCTTACTACAGGCAGCGATAGAAGCTATTTTTTTCTTTTTACATCTAAAATTTGCAAAACTACGTCTTAAATCTGGAGAGATCTGGTGGCAAAATAAGTGAAATTCACTTGGGAATCTAGCAAAGAGGTTTATACGAGTACCAGCTTTGATACGATATGAGCCAAAACATATTTTGGTTGGATGCCCAGCTCTTACCCCATTGTCTGCACATGATTCAGGATGATTTCCTTGTTTGGTTTTAAAGCTTGATGTCAGTACTGGTGGAATCTGTTTTTGTTTTTTTTTAAACTTTCAAAGTGTAACCACGGCCTTTGTAGTCTGCATGGTCTCAACTTTTGCTGCACAAAAAGAGTTGCAGTACGCAGGCCATGCAGTGTGTTGGCAGGAGACGGGCTGGATTCAGACTCACTTTCTGGTCCGGTTCTGGACGACCTGTTGCTGCTGCTGCTGTTGCTGCTGCTGCTGCTGGACCTGCTGGGAGGGGGCCGGCCTCTTACGACTGGGCTCCATCACCGGGGTGGGCAGGCTGGGCCGCACCGCCGGGCTCCCTCCGTATGGGGGGCCAGGGGGGCCCATGGGAGCTCCCTGATGGGGCATCCTCGCTCCAGACGGCATGCCAGGACGCTGGGGAGGGAAAGCAGGCGAGATGATGAGGTCAAACATGCTCCTCAGAAGGTAACAAAGGAAACATTAGCTCTATTTCAACTTTAATGCATTTCCATTCGATTTGTTCTGAGGTGTCCTGAGAAGTTGAGCACATTTTATCAGACAGAATCCTGAAGAAGGGGAGCAACAGCAAGAGTGTTCATCAGACCTCGTGGATTTTCCTATTAAAAATAAAAGTTTGTCGTCTGCTCTGCTTACAGAAATGAAGATTTCTCCTCTAACAGAATCTTTCAGATTAAAAATAGAGCGTCTCCAACCCTTCATAACCTTTTCCATAAAACTCAAACACCAGATAAGATGGTTACCATGAGCACACATTAGGCAATTTTGCAACCTCAATTACAAAACCAATGTTTTAAATCTTTTGCTATCTGTTGTAGGATCTGTTCTTTGTTGACATTAGGCGACCAAATTGTAGTCAGGAGCGTGAACTTTGAACCCTTAAAATCTGGCAATCTGAGTTGTTTTAAGTAGACCTAAATCAGTCAGTGTAACTGATACTAGAGCTGTGATCGCTGACATTTAGAGAAGAGTAAAGAGTACGTAGAGAAAAAGAGGACAAAACAAGAGAACAAACTTTTTTCGCAGGTCATATTTATAGTTTTTAAGCCGTAAGACAAAAAAAATCAGGTCTGAAAAAAAAGGCAGAATCAAGATTCTTTTTGCAGTGTGCAGACTTTGTCACACCCACACATGCTGAAACACACACACACACACACAAACACACACACACACCACACACTTCTCCCAAACAATGCAAACAGTGTCAGAGTCCACAGTCCCACACTCCTGTCTTGACGCCTGGGAACAACTGGGGAAGTCTCACCTGTGCTTGTCACTCTCATGGCAACAGCTGCCTCGCGCCTCACTTTATTATCTGAAACCAAATTGAGGCTCGTGTGATTGAAAGAAATCCTTTGACTCAACTGGAGCGCAGACCCCCGCTCTTGTATGTAAAGGAGCTCAGCGGGAGACCAAACAGTTCTTCAATGATCTCCGATTACTGCTTCATCGCTTTGAATGCTTTACGGTCGAGGAAAACCCTCGAACCCTTCAAGTTGGTTGAGCAACACTAGCATGTAAAAATGTAAAGTGATAAATGAAATAATTACTTGCAGATGGCTCGTCATCATTTAAAATGGTGGAGATTTTGAAATAACCGTAAAAGCTAGAAGTGATTTGAACTTTATATACTGTTGGCGGGAACCCTCGGGGACATATAGGACCAAGGGAAACTGTGTGGCAACAACTTTATTTCCACATTCAGACCCATTTGCTTTGTTTCTTAATAGTTTGGCCGTGTCTGATGTTAAGTGAACTTGTAAGCTACATGTTCTAACTTCTCACCAGGGTTTTCTGTGTTTATAGTTCACGTCATGTTATGTGCCCTGTATGTAGACACATTGTAAAAACATTCTATTAAACTGAAATCCCTTGTTAATAGTCCTATTCAGTCGTTCACAGCGCTATATTTGCATCCCTGTGAAGTTCTGCCATTAATCTGAATGTCACAGAAGACTGCTTTTTTTTTTTTTTTTTTTTTGCAAAAGTGCCGTCACTTGTCACTTAGCTCAGCCGTCATCACGCCTTCTTACATTCATATTAAGTCTGCGACATTTACCTTACAATCAGATCTTGGAGCTTGGAGACCACACAAGTTAAGCGCGTTTTCCGATTGTGAGTCGGCAACAAGGAGAGAACCGTTGTTTTGTGAACAGCTTAAATGTTACTGTTGATTCACTGAGCAGCCATGTTGGATTTCAACAAGGTGCTCCGAGTTTCCAGGTTGAAACTGCAACTTCACATCGAGCGTTCCCGATGACGTATCAGACCGGCAACTCAGAAATCGCCGACTTCAGAGATCAAATGGAAACGCAGCAAAAGGAGGCTGTTGTGACCTAAAGGTGACTTGTTTTTGCGTTGGGACCACAGCAGCAGGTTAATCCGGCTCCGGCTGCCGTATGTTTTGATCTCTAACGAGGCATTTTAAATCAGTTCATGACATAGTTGGTATACATGAACCTTAGAAAACTGTAGTGAATCATAATTCAAAGTCATAGAATATTGAAGAGCTAAAGTAGATTTTCAGTCGCTCGTTTCAGGAAACGTGCTTCAGAAATGTCACAAATTGTTTCAATAATAAGATTCCTTCTTTCTCAGTAACTAAAGTAAAGATGTCTTTTCTTCCCTCCTTCTTTTTTTCTATTTATCAGAACATCTTTTTATCTTATTGTTTAGCTGAACAAAGACTTCAGAAACCCAAATATTTAACTCTCTTTCCCCTTGCAAAAAAAAATAAAAAATCCTCTTTCAAATGGACACAAAAAGCGTCAGCTACATTTTGTAACCGAATGGATAAATGTTTGAGAGAGAAGGACAACTGAAGGATACAAGTCAGGGAGTTTCATAACCGCACATTTGCTCACGTTTTTCGCTCATTTCACAATGTTTATCAAGGCTGAATGTTGCACATATCAGATCTGATCTTTAGACTGAAAAACCCCACGGCAAAGAAACACAAAACAAACAAAGAGGAACGAAATAAACAACGAGGAGTGCACAAAAAGGAAAACTCGATGCGATTTTTTCAGATCGATGCATGTGGTCACAGAAAGATAACTGGAGAGTGAGCATGACAGCGTACGCCAGGAGAAGGCCGACGTGCTTTGTGCCCTTTGAAATGGTGACCAAGCACAGATCCTGCGATAAGAAGCCCGAGCAGCCGCTGCTGTCACTCCGAGTCAGAGTGTGTTCAGCGAATGGGGGGGGGGGGAGGGGACGTCGGGGGGTAAGAGCAACTGAGAAGGCTCTCCAAACAGGAGAGGATAAGACAACATATGGTGGGGGGCCTTCTGCTTGAATGTTATCACCTTGCGGAGCTTTACAAGACCTCTTATTTCCCTGTCTACCCCTCTACATAAGCTGGACAGTAAAACCCAAACATGCTCGAGAGCAGACTCACAGACTTCTGTGGCAACCGGCTGTCTGGAAAATCTGAGCTTTTCAGATAACAGATTCAGAAAACATAGCTGGATAATGTTTTAGATGAGTTCCCTCTCAATCCACACACACACACACACACACACACACACACACTAACAGACGCACAATGAGTGATACTCTATAATCTGACCTGCTGAACTGACTCCAACACTGCGCTCGCAGCTCTGCCAGCCAGCCAGCAATCGAATCTGCCATGTGGATGGATATCTGAGAAGTGTGTTGGCATCTCTGGAGGGATTTGAAGAGGCCAAACTTAACCCACACTGTGCTAAACATACGAGTCTGTGGGTTTGAAACATGGAGGGTCCGTTTAAAAAGGCGTCTGTTGGAGCACTGGAATCTATTAAATACTGAAGACGAGCTTCATGAATGGGATTTTAAGAAGCAAAAAAAAGGTCTCTTGTTTAGTTCATTCAGGTTTATAAATCAATTATTATTATTATCGCTGTATCGTGGGGTGCCGGTGGCCGAGTGTCTAGGGCGCACGCCCCATGTACAGAGTCCTAGAAGCAGGCGGCCCGTGTTAAAATCCGACATGTGACAAGTGTCTGGTTATTCTTTCTAGAGCCCGACCGATTAATCAGCCAGCCGATAATATCAGCCAACATTAGCTTATCCAGTGAACATCGTTATCGGCTCTTTTATCGCAGATATGCGCCGATGTTACTCGATTTCTTCAGCAGTCAAACAGCATTTCATTTGAGTTCATTGTATCACGCTAGAAGTTCTCTTTCACCAGCAGAGGGCGCTGCATGGATTACATCAAGCATTATCACTCTCAAGTCAGGCGCTGATGCACGAACATGTGCAGTCACTGTCCAGTCGAGTGACCATCTTGTCTTCGTTATAAATCTTTTCCACAGGTGTTTGGTAACCACATTTCAGGGATCAATACATGTGTATGTCTAAATCTACTGTCTCTAAAGATCGAACATAGCTCTGAGAAAGATATCAGCTCATATATCGGTATCGGCCACGAAAATCCCAAATCGGTCCGGCCCTAATTCTTTCTGTCATCAGCGTGTAGATTTAGCAGAAAACGATGTATAATACACAGCTCAATGTTTTGTTTCATATTACAAAGACGAATCTCATTTGTCATGTTAACAGCGTTCGTATTTCCAATTGAATTAGCCTCAACAGCAGCTTCTCTCTTACAGCTCTGTCCCTGTTACTCTGACTGCAGAGAGTAAATCTTGGACAGCTTTCAGGGCGACTATTTCTTTGGGAAAATAAAGAATAAAAAAAAATATAAAAAAAATGAAATTCAAAGAGAACTGAACCTGGCAAGGTCTGCGGATGACCCAGAGTAACCGGGACATTGTGTTTTCAAAATTGACAAGTCGCTGCAGAATTTAATGCTCCGGGCACCGCAGACAAGATTTCTTTCACCTCCATTGTGTTTGGTGTGTGGAGGCTGCAAAAACTCAGATATCTGAATACGTGGGAAAATAAAAAGCATTAACTGTCTGCATGAACAGAAAACAGAGTGGAACCAGATTTTTATAGTAAAGGTGAAGTGTATGTTCAGAGTTTGCATCACTCCTCTCACACACACACACACACACACACATGCACGCTTCTGACTTTGAGTCGTATGATGTTTTTTGGCTTATCAGAGTTTCCCACGCAGGGTGCTGGAAGGCTTTTCCTAACGCTGCAGCCCTCGCTGACCTCCCCACACACACACACACACACAAGTTAACACAGCAGGGGGGGAGGTGAAACCGATAATGAGGGGAGAAAGAGGAAGAAGAGACCTCGGCCAGGCCTTTAGCCCACCCAGAACCAGATCTCGGCCATACTCTCTCCCCCACAAGAAAACACTCGAGCAGGAACAGTATGACCTTCGCCAACCACAACAACGTTTGCATTCGGCGTGTTTAGAAATGCATCTCTTCATGTACAGTATGTTTCTGTGTATAAAAAAAATGCTTCGCTTCAGAGGAAAAGGA